TGCACATCTATAAGATAAGAAGTGCTGAACGTACTTTTATAATAACAGATCTCATAAAAATCATTTGGGTAATTTAAATTTTTTAAAGTTTACCTGTAACACAGATTTTTAATGCATTTTTAAGAATTGAATCATAGAGATGTCCAATTTTAGGAATCGGTTATTTTTTCAGTTCGAAATTGATGCTAACAGTTTGTTTTTCAACTAAATATATATATGTGTATATACTACTGTAATACTTTGAGTCATCGTTTCATGAGAAACTGACTCAAATTAAAATGTCACATACGCAATCATTTGATACAGTCTGTCGAAATCGCTAAATATAAAACCCCAAAGAATAGAGCTACATGTCAATCTTCTCATACATCGCAAAAAAAGAAAAAAGGTTTCCAGGTTGATTCATGGGCTTTAGTGCTCCGTATTCGTCATAAAATACATCGCAATGACTTAAATGCAAATATTTCATCACTTATTTCCAAGAGCAGTTGAATAATGAAGCTGTTGTGATGTTATTTATTTATTTGTATAGTATAACTGCCGCCGAAGTTTAGATATAATAGAAGATTTTACAGCTGTACTAAAATGGGATATTTCGTAACAGGTTTGAAAATATCGTCTTGTAAATTAATAGATGACAATCGCTGTTTCGAACAACAAAACAGATGTGTTGTAGTTTTAAAATTAAATCATTATTACTCGACAGAGGAACAGTGACACTGTAAGTCAAATGATGCACCACCGGAGTTCTTGGACATGGAGTCAAACCTCCATCAAAAACTTTTATTATAATTGCAAATTATGAAATTTTCCAGAGAGAGTTTGTTTTGAAACGCAATTTTCTAGTAAATATGGACAATAATATCTCTGCTGCTTAACAGCCTAAAACGATTTAAGTCTATAGGATGAAAATAACATCAGTGTTCTACATTAAAGTTTTCACATTGTTACCTTCAAAATATATTTTCTTCGCTAAAACGGCAAGAAATTTATTCATATCTATTATTATTTTTAAATATTTTTACATCAAACATAAGCTCTCTTTTACTTTTTAAAGAGGTTTTTCTGTATGCTGTCAGGTCTTTGAATTTGCCCGGGTAAGCTTTTTTTAGGTGAGTCAAAGAGTCCCAATTTTTTCTAACCTGGGGACACGGCAACATACATAAACAAACAAGAGTATCGTACAACACAGAGACCTGGACTTATTATTATTATTATAAAATTTACATATTATCTTTAAGTGTGTGATTACTATGCTTTACACAATTTGACAGTATATGGTCATCAGACCGCCCCCTCCCTCCAAAAAAAAAAATCATGCAAGTCTTCTGTCAACGTAAAAACGTAAGCGAAACTTTAAAATCTATATTTGAATTTGAAAATTTCGTGACCCTCCATTTAGGAAATATTGCGTTAATAATTAATTAGAAATTCGCTATTTTGGAAACCCAGCTCGGTGAGCTTAGTTCTTTTATTCATATATGTTGGTAAATTGGAATTTTTTTGCTTTAAATGTGATTGAATTATGTTGTTCTTATATTCCGGCTAAGATTTTTTATCCCTTTAGTTAATCTACATGCAATATCTGTAGAATTATCAACAATTTAAAAGTGATGAATCCTAGCGAGGTCTCCATTTATTTACATTGAAAACACTTAGCAGACTAATGAATTAAGTCACATTGTGCACCAACTTCAGTGTCGTTTTGCCGAGTGGGACTAAAAAAGTAAACTTTCAATTTTGCGCACCGAAAAATCTGTATTCTTGCACGCTCTCTAGATTGCTTGTTTTTGCGTGGATACTCTAAATTTAAATTGTAAAAATTATTTTTTACAATTAAAATTTAGAGTATTTAACTATTTTTAACTGTATCTGGTGCTTTATGTTTTTCTACATTTTACAATTTTAATGAAGATTCTATAAGGTTTTATATATATTATTTTATATATTTTTGCTACGAAATGAGAACTGAATAAATTGAATAAGAAATATATCCCTAATGAAATACGAGGAAATAAATTTTAATGAAATTCAGCAGAAAATGTGTATAATAAGCCGTACAAAGAAGTTATGTGTTGTCTATATCAGATTTATCTTTCATTTGTGCTACTAAAGCTGCCGAAACTATTTTAGCCATATGTCTTCTATGATCCCTTTTTAAATTATACTGATCTGTAGTTTCTTCCCATTTAGAATAAGCTTCCTGCATTCACTTTTCCTGCTTTTAATTGAGAAAGGGAACACATTCTCAATCTTTGAAACAATGAATAAGTAAAAACATACTAATTTAAGATGCTGTGTCACTGGTAGTTGTATGAGCCACAGCGCGAAAGCATTTCTAAGAGCTTTCTCTGCTGATACGTTGTTAAGAAAATAGGGTTATCAGACCTCGTGTATTTGTAATTACTCTTGAAGATGTGTCTGGAAATGAATGTCTGGTATTTTCCCATCAGCGTGATTCGCTTCTAGTTAATTAGCTTTGCCTCTAAATGCATCAGCTGTAATAGAAACAATTTTTCAGTTTTTAAAGACATTGATCTCTAGAAAGAGATTGAGTACTAGTGTCAACGATGAAAGCAGTCTTTAAATTTAAAACAGAACTCTAAATATTCATGGAGTGATTTTTATGGAAATATGAAACCAACAAAGAGTTTCTATGGTAATTAATTTTTATATTGTGATATTTCTATACTTTAATATTTTATTTAAAACTCTGCAAGAAGGGAGTATGAACAAAACTTCCAGTTATTCACATCTCAGAGTAGGCATGCTGGAAAAGATACGCAACTCACTTTTCAATACCTATGATATTTTTTTTTTTGGGGGTCTCTTTGATTTTTTTTTTTTTTTTGTGTGTGTGTGTGTGTGTCTTTTTGTCTGTGTGTTCCTTCGTAAATTGCAAACTAGTACCAAAACGGTCAGAGAACGTCCAATCCAAATGTTTCATGAAGGTGCATGTGACGTTCAGGCGAAAATGTTCCGAATCGCGTCTGCGAGTTACTGTCATAAAACAGGCAATAGCACATCTAGTAAGGAGGTTCTCGTGGAACGTGTAACGCTTTACAAAGAATTATCATAAAACATACTGCCAGAATGTTCTGAATCATATCTGTATGTTACTATTCTAAAACAGGCCATTGCAGTTCTATAACGTACAAAAGCACGTAAAAACATGCAAAGCATGTTCTATAAAACCGATAGTACAATGTTCTAAAAGATTAATTGCGTAATTAAACTGTTAAATTACGTCTACATGTTACAGTTTTGTAATGTACAACTGCACGTTGATACTGATACTGGTAGCACTTTCCCATATGATACTATGAAGAAGGCACAATAAAGGTACACCTAAAACGAGGGCTTCTGCCAAAAACATCGCGGATAACATTAAATAAAAGGCGAACGAAAACGTCGTGGAGAAATCAACGCAAGACGAAAACGTCATGGAAGGAAACTTTGCAAGGAGAAAATATCACAGTTCTAAAACATCGTCGTACTAAACTTTTTTTTTTTTTTTTTTTTTTGTAGGTAACGTTACGTTCCTTCTGTAGGTAAAGCGATTGCCATGGATTAACATTTTTTGTATGATCAACAATTTTCTGCCAATACGGCTGCTAAAAGACTGCTTGTATGTTCTTCATCAAGGAAATAATTTCGCCCTCTTCAATATTCTGTAAACAATCTGAATGCAATGGCTCGAGACAGAGCTTTATTTCCATGTCCTGTTTGTGGACGTTGAAGGAATGCTTAAAGCTATGTTTTTTTTAACCTGAGACTGTAACCTGAGACTGTAACTGTAAACCTGAGAAGAGACCATCCGTTAATCATTTTTTTAAGTTCGTATAAAGAGTAATTTTAACTCGTATTTGGACTTGTCATTACGTACGGGAACTTTGAAATGTCTCCACATAGTTCTTAAGTATTCTAGGTTTCAAGGACTACTAATTTAGCTAGTATATAACACATAGAGAAAACCACGTAAAACAAACATGCAGCTAGTTTGTTCGCGATACAGTAAGAATAACAAAATATTCAAAGTATTACAAAATAGATAGCAGTATGTCAGATTTTAAAGTACATTTAACCTGAAGATAAAGTGGATGGCTGGACTCTTGTTTCGCTTTCATTACCGCACATTTTTCTTTAGTTAATATTTTGCTTATAAATTATTTCTTTATTTTATAGGTTTGTAAAATCATCACATAAGTATTTGGGATTTACTTCCAAGTTTCTTTACTATTGACACCCGTAACTGTTATTTTTTGGAGATCAAATATTGTTGGAATGAAAAAAATTATTTTCCACAGGAGTTGGTACATTTATTAGCGAAAGCGATAAATTAGACGAACAGTCACTTTCATTTACATACACTGGGCAATTTTCAATCCCAATCTTACTTACAAGTACCTGGCGTCCGGTAACTCTATTCATTCTTCATCGTTCACATTTTAAAAATACCACATATTACGCTATATTTCAGATACGCAAAATATGTTTACGCATTTTTTTGCTGTTTTGTCTACAGATGAATAAATACTATGAAAATGAAGAATAAAAACATGATGCATTATTTAAACTCTAAAAGTACACCAACGTAATATTGTCATTATTTATAAAATCTACAGAACGAAATCCATACTGAATTGAACTGAAATTGTCAAGATTTCGCGTCATAAAATAATCCTTTTGAAGTATTCTGATCGAAATTATATGAAAATTTAATGTATATTTATATCATTTCCTATAAATATACAAAGAAATATTGGGCGAATAAAAGCAATATTGATGTATTTGCATAACTGGGAAATTCCTGCAGAGAAAGAATGAAAATAGGAAATTAGCCAGGCAGAACAATTAATGCCGTCTGTCTCCCGATTCTGCAATATTCGCATATTTCGCAAATTTTCTTTTTGTTTTACCTCTCCTCAATGCTAGAGCATCGGGAAATATGCTTTGTCATACAGTGCTGGAAGTTCCAGTACCAGCTGTTTCCAGTATGTAAGATTCGAGCATCACAGATGTTGAATCAGCGCAGGATATGATAGAGCTGCTGTATTCGTCGGCTTGTGCTTTTTATGTTTGAACAAAATTGAAAATTTATTGCGTTTCAGAAGTTGACAGTAGCTTCAGAGGAACCATTAAATAATATCTTCAGTTTTCAGTTATAATTTGCTCCGAATACATCATGCAAGTATTAAGAAAAGTGGTGATGTTCGCTGGATATGTTCTTTTTTGCTGTTAAGTACAATTTTTTCAAATTTGATAAGTAGGAAAAGTAGAATTTATTCCATTTTGATTTCAGAATTTAAACTGAATTATTATTTATTTATAAATGTTTAAATAATAAGAACTAAATACATATATATTAATATGCAATTTTAAAGTTAATATAAAACTAAGTTTTAAAAGGTTTAATAATATTCTTAATGAAAGCATTAATGTATCTTAATTAGGAGGTTAATATTGATAGAAACTGAATTTTCTATGTATTTTGCCTAAATCCAAAAAGTATAAACACTTTCCTCAAATGGCATACTTTTCCTTAAGGTTTCGTTAAGGAATTCCAGCCCTATGAAAGAGTATGTCATTATCCATTTCTTACTGGACATTTATAGTTCTGTTATTATCATCGTGTAATGGATTATCCATATTATTATTCCTCATGCAATGAATAATTTCAGGAAAATGTAATTCTAGATAAATAGAAAAGAATTATGAATTTCGATTTTCGAAAGTACGAAAGTACATTACATACGAAAATTTTTAAAATTAAAGAATTCTGCTATCTCTTTCTCGTTTTTTCATAATTTTAGCTGTTTAACTTTATATAAGATATCAGTTAAGTACATATATTTATTTTCTAAACTAATTATTAGTTTCATATTTTATGTGTACAAATAATTTTGATTTACTAACTTTTTTTTTGCTGTTGCAAGAAAACAAAGCATACATCACAAAACCAAATAGAAATGTAATACTATAAAAATTAATTTAAGAAATTTATTGCTAATTTATATATTGCATTAATATTTCAGAGCAATTAATATGTACATTTCCTACTTCCTATTTACAGTATCTAATTTTTCATCTGCTCAAAGTACCTGCCGTAAAGAATACAGCATCTCCATAAAACTGGGGGAAGGGTGGAACTGAGCTAAATCGCACTGTCACCTGTAAGGTGCTCAAGGCTGTTGCCAACTACAGGCGTAAACTTGCGCTCCTTGCCACGAGAAATTTCGTGGGTTTGGGCTGAGCATAGGTCAGACAAGTGAGCATTTGCAACAACAAACAACAACAACAATAGATAATTTCATCAATTAAATAAATATATTACTCGTATTTTAAAATTTTTCACATAAAAGATTTGTATTTTTACATGATAAAATAATTTCATAGTAAAAATAAACTAAATCCCTTGGTGATTTAATTTTGCTATCTAAAATACTTTTCCTCTTCATCATTAAAGCGGCATAAAAAAGATATTCGTTATATTATAGCGTTTTATAGTTATTTATTGTAAGTTATAATTATTCATTATTATAAATGATTAAGTAACTTCCTCGTCATTTTTCTTCACTAATAATTTTAGAATTAATTTAACCATTTATGAATATTTATCCTTTTCATAACCCTAACGGTTTTTTGCCAATAATCAAGTAATCCAATCAAATGAACTCTTTCAGGTTAGTGAAATTAATATACCCTCTAAAGCACTAAAACAAGAGAAGTTATACTAAACTGGTAAATACTGCCCCATAATTCAGCGAAAGTCAAATAAATCTTTTAGACATAAGTTCTACTAAAGATTAAATGTTTATAACATTAGTTTTAACTATTTTGAAATAACTTAAATGAAGAAATCTAAAAAGATATCTAGTTTTAAGCTTTCATTGGTATACTTTCTAGTTCATGTCAATGAATATCAATTTAGTAATATTTCTTCCCCGGTTTAATGTTAACTAGTTCAATAAAGATAACGCTGCACAATCATACTTGTTTCATTACGCTTTCAGAAGTATCAAGCAGTTATTTTTTCTTGCCTTTAAATCATATTCTAGTAATTCTTGGAATATTTAAACTTTTTTCTGTATTACCTGCGGTCAGCCGCCTAATATAGTAGTTAAAAAAGGGAAAAAAAACATAATAATTTTAATAAGCCCAGCTAGTGTAATTTTGTAAGTTCAGCTAGTGATTAATAATAAGAGATGAAAAATTATGTTTATTGATTTTATATCGCTTAATTTGTTCATCAGTAGCATATAGATCAACTCTGAGAAATAAGTAAACAAATAAATAAATAAATTATCTTACATTTTGTCTAAGGGTAACACACTGGTTCTTCGAAGATAAATTTTTTTTTTCACATAGCGGCAACAAATTTGTTTAATTAAGGAATTTCTTAATTCAAGTTTAAATATAAATTCTTACGCTTTTTCTAGTGGCAAGAATAGAAATTGCTTTTAAATCTTCAAATTTATTAATTAAAATGTCATCAAATTAGTACAAAACATACTATAAATAGAAAACAATTCGAAACTCGAGCTCTCAAGTGTACATGTTCGGCTCGAATACTATAATGTTCAAAACATGGCGGCTCTAGAGGCCTCCATTTTTCTACACTGTGAGGAATATGCATACGCATACATATAAATTATTCATTATTTAATAATAGAGATTATCGATCAAATAATAGAGAAAAATTGCGGAATGTTGAATGTTTGTTGATTAATTTATTATTTGCAATATATTGGTAAAATTACTCGTATTTGAATTTCTATTTTATAATTGGAATAAAATGCTTCTAATGTTCAAAATGTTTAAAACAAAATTAACAGATATTACTTAAATGCAGTGTTGTTATTTTCTGTTGGCTAACAGGAAGAACACCAAAAACTGTTTTCCTTATAAGGTGTTTTCTGCCTCCTTCCAGCATGCATGGTGTAACGGTTAGCACACTCGGCGCGCATTCGAAAGGTCTAGGTTTGAGTTCCGGCAAGGGCATTGCACACATTTCACGTCTTCCGCTTCAAAACTAATCTAATGACTCTAACAATGATGCCCGAAGTAAAAAAAAAAAAAGTGAAGGATGATTCTTCATACCAGGATTTGGCGATTGGGTTCCCTAATCCCCAATCGCCCTTTAAAAGGGCTAAAGTATGTAAGGTATTTTCTCCCTCCTCCCAGCATTCCGTCGTGGCATAACGGTTAGCAAGGTTCGATTCCCGACGAGGGCACTGCACATTTTTCTCTTCTTCTTAAAAAATTCTTAATGACTCTCCATCCTTCTCAAATGTATTCAGTTATAATCATAACTTTCATCATCTTTGCCTATTTATCTAAATGTCAACATCCTTGTGTAATGTTTAAGAATTATCAGGTCTTCAGATTTGATGAGTTCCGAATTTTGTTGTTCTGGATAATGCACCAACGGAATTTTTGCTTTTGTTATATTAGAAAACTCAACATGCAGTTCTTTTTTTTTTTTTTCTGAAATCTCTGTAAAAACTGTGAAGGAACTAGAGCGTGATTACCACGAACTGACTTTCACTCTGAAGTACATACATTTATTGAAAATACACTAAAAGATGTATTGCGCAATGAACTTTCCTATTTTTCATATCAAGTATGTGTAATACGTATTTGTGTTTTAAGAGTGAACAATTTTGCAAGCAAATATTTTTTTTTCAGTTTGAAACACTTTATTTATATTGTTAATTCTAAAAATAGCTAACATTATTATTATATCAAAATGACAAGTGAAAATATTATTAATAAATTTATAAGTAAAAGAAATAATCACAAGCTTTTAATTTTAAATGAGCATTTAGATACGTATAACAATTGTTAAAGAGAAAAATATGTCGAATATTGAAAAATCTGTGTCAGTACTGTAATTGAACATTTCTTTGTCAGAGAAGTGTTGTCTCGGGAAAGAAATGATTGTAAAGAAAACTACTGATAATTCTATTAAATGACGTTTTTACAAAATATACGTTTGATTCTTCAAAAGGACTAATAAAAATGCAAAGGAAAGATAATAATTAATTAAAAATTTGCTATTTTGTAAACCCGGCTCGGCGAGCTTAGTTTTTTACTGTATGTTGGTAAATTGTGAATTTTTTTGCTTTAAAAGTGATTATATGATGCCGTTCTTATCTTATGGTTAAGGTTTTTATGCCTTTAGTTAATCTTAATGCAATAGTTGTAGATTATCAACAATTTAAAAGTTCTAATTCAGAAATCAAACAACAAAAATCAGCGTTATATTTTCACAGTTTTCACAGGTGGCCAGATAGTCGTCATGGAAAAGAACACTTACATCGATGGTGTCGCTAAACTCTTAAACGAAGGACCGTATAATCCAATCCCTAAAGATCCTTCATCTTCGGACTTGTCAAAAATACAAACTGCGATCAAATCTTCACAAATCATTTCAAGCAACTTAAAACATTCGCTTATCCCATCTGTTGCGAATTGTGCTAGATTATATGCTTTTCCCAAAATCCATAAAAGTGGTATTCCTTTCCGCTATATTGTATCAAATTTAGGTACTGCCTCGTATCCATTAGCTAAATATTTAGTTCCTAGATTTTCAACTCTATTAGACAATAACATTTACACTGTGAAAATTGTGAAAATATAACGCTGATTTTTTTTGTTTGACTTCTGAATTAGTATTTATTCGGCGTGTTATTGTGTCTTAATTTAAAAGTTGTTTAAATGGTACTAAGCCTAACGAGACCGCCACTTGTTTACATTAGGAGCTGTTAGAAGAATAGTGAATTAAGTCAGTTTGTTCAAAAACTTTAGTGTCCTTTTTGCTCAGTCGAACCAAAAGTAAGCTTTCAGTTTCATGCACCGAAAATTTTGTCTTCGTGCCCGCTAGCCAAATTGCTCGTTATCGCTCAGAAACTCTAAATTTAGTTGCAAAAACTTTTAACTGTTCTCAAATGTGTCTGGTGGTTTAGGCTCTTCTGTATTTGATAATTTTTAATGAAGATGTTTTGACTTCTTATGTATTTTTGCCTTTTCGCGAAGTGAGAACTGAATTGATTGAATGAGAAATATATTACTAATGAAATTCGAGAAAAATATTTTTAAATGAAGCGCAGCGAAAAATGTGTATGATTTAATAGGCCGTACAAGAAAGTCATAATTTAAAATAACGGTGTGTGTATTTATTTATTTTTTCAGTTCAAAGAACTATTGCTACAGATATTCCTTGTCCTGATAATCGAACTGCCAGCTGCATACAGAGTTTAGCAACATTCACCACCTTAAGTAAGCCACCTTTTGCACCTGAAGAAGAACTAGATAAGCTCTGTAGGTAAGTTAAATTCGGAAAAAAAAATTAAAGAAATAACTGAATTTAACTTCAAGGGTTAATGAATACCTTACACTAATTCTGAAAACATACCCTTCTTATTTGCTAACGGTTATTTGCGTTTATATACGTTTGATTAAGTAGGTTATTTGAATATAGAAGAAGACACAAGGATAACCTAGCTATAAGGAGGGATTCCTTCAGGAAGGACTTTCTGAAGAACACTCTCTTCGTATTCACGTTAAACGATGAGAAAAAAGAAAATCCCCAAATACGGCCAGCTCTTTGCTGGATCCGTACCCCGGACCGAATTACCAGCCTTTACGTTATCTGCTTGCTTTCCTCGTTCAATGATTTCTAACCATATCGTCATTCATTTTGAGAAAATAATGCTGTCGAAATTAATCTAAAATAATATCTGAGACATCAATGTTGCCAATATAGTACTGCAAAAGTGTACTCATATCACTAAATTGAAATCGAGAAAAATTATGCATATTCTGTTACATTATAAACATAGCAATGAATATTAAGACTTCAATTTATCATCGTTCATTTCGATCTGATTCGATTGTCTCTGAATCTGAATTCGAAGTCTCTGAATCTGATTGTAAGTCAAAAAGGCTAATTACCATATTGAGTAGTCTGCGGATTTTCAACAGTTATTGCCACTAATGCAAAAATACATCAGAATTTGCAGCTCTTGCAGTAGTTCAGAAATTCATGGTGAAATCAGATATTATTATTTTCTTGGGTAAGTATTGTTTCCTTTCTGTCTTGCACGGAAAATAGGGGTAACAATGTTATGCAACTTAATATATGAAAAGTCCTTCATCTATTGTAAATACAGGGTGGTCGTAAAATTTTCCTGTACATGAAATTCCTAGCGGCTTATCCGTTCAACTAAAGAAAGGAAATTTCAGATATTGTTATTTGAATATAGCTCGAGATATGTGCTCGAGATTGTGATCATTTAAAACAATAGAGAACTCGGGGTTACGGTTACAGTGAAAACATTTCAAAATTTCTGAACGTCAACATGTTTTCCCTGCGCAAATTGATCAGTGCATTGAAAAGCCATAAATGTTATGGAATGATACACATACAACGAAAATTGCCGGCGTAAAACATTTTCAGAGAAGGCCCCTATGAAGGACCAATGATAACACAAGCTAGAAGACATAAAAAGATTTTATTGGAAGCACAAGTTTTCAGAGGGAATAAATTTCAAGATAGAGTTATTTCCTAAAATCTAACAGTCCCGTTGCCCCCTCGATCCCCTTTCTTCCTCCAAAGGATTTCTGGTTCTGGGGATATCTGAAATCTGTTTTCATCACATCCACTTCAATCTTTAATGAAGATATTCGCGTCAGACACTATAAAACGCGAAAGACACTATAAAACGCGAAGTTATACAAATTCCTCCTGCAATGTTACGTTCATCATCGTTGTCAACAATCCATCACATGCAACGCATTATCATCTGCGAAGGTAGGCACATTGAAAACTTGCATATCCAATGAAAGTTTTCCCCTTTTCTCTTTTGTGTTGTCATTGGTCCTTTGCAAATGTTGTGTGCCGGCAATTTTTGTGCATTATGGTCCTTGTGGTTTCTCAGTGCGCTGGTCAATTTGCGCAAGAAACAAATGAGTGTTGCTTCGAAATGTTTTATCTGTAACCGTAACCATGACAGCTCTATTGTTTTAAATCCTCGCAATCTGCAGTGCATACCTTCAAATAACAATATCTGAAATTTTATTTCGAGTGGTTGAGCTGACAAATCCAGGCAGCTAGTGGTTCTATATAAGGGAAGAATTTTTATGGCCATCATATATTTATAAATATATTGAATTTTCATATGATGATTACCTTTCTGGGAAAATCATCCCTGAAAATGTTCATCATTTCTGAAAACTTGAATGCACATTAGTAATTAACATCTATTCCTGCAAAGGACTAAGATCATGTGGAACCATGGGTGATCGTCTTAGAGAAGTTTCTTTGTATTTTTATATCTATATTTTAATTAGAACATGTCGTCACAAAACTGAAAATTAATTATCTAGGGAAAGCACTAATAGCAATTTATTCTTTTCCAGCGAAGCTGAAGCTGGACAAAGTTGCTCTTCTGACTTCTTACGGTACACATCTTGCATATCGTCTGATGAAAAGCTACGCATCTCTCTCCAAATCAGTAGGTCACAAGCTCTATCTCAACTTTTATGTAAGGAAGGAAACTACGTGAGAGATCCCAATTTCAGAAAAGGTAACTTTAAAATTATTCATGGAAGATAAAATTTTAACTTTAATTTGAACTGAAGTCTTCTTTCTAATTTTATTTTTTTTCCGTTTTCTAAAAATAGTAAAATGTTTATAATAAATATTTTTAAAGCGCGTTATTTTAAAACTAATCCTTGCTATAGGATTTTTATGTAGCGTATGGAAAGCATGACTTTTATAATGGTAAAAGTAAAAGCAATGACAAAATGGCAAAATCATTTATCCAATAATTATGAAATCATTACTGTTAATTAAAAAGTAGTAATGAGATATATGAGAATCATGTTTTGAAAAATGCAGCAACTTCACCATTCTTAATCTGTCAGTAACATAATGTTGTTCTTCTCATTGCTTGTCTCTGCCCTGCTAATGTATAGTTCGCTACGTTTATTTCTCTCCAGTTACGTTGCTGTGAGTATAAGAAATCCAATTATATTGCTGTGAGTATAAGAAATCCAATTATATTGCTGTGAGTATAAGAAATCCGATAATATTGCTGTGAATAAGTGAAAAGTACATTTGCAGTTATTGAATAAGTGGAGCATCTCTTGCATCAATCTAGCTATATATATGTTTTCTATAGTAATACTAAAACTGAAGAATTATACCAACCGGCCACAACTATCCCGCTACGTTCACGTACCAGCTTCATCATCATCATCTACGTCACATCAAAAATTTCGTCACATTTTATAATATCGATTTCCGTATTAAAATAAAACTAAAGTATCGTTGTGCGGTGCATTTTTAGAGCAGTGTCTTTCGAAAGCTATTAATTAAAATTTTTTAAACCAAATAAAACTTGTTTATCTTAGTATCGCATATAAATTATGATTATTTTCCAAAACTCCGAATGTGATTTGAAAAAAAAAAAAAAAAAAATGCTTTGTTGGATTTGGTCTTCTTCGAGAGCATACAATTATACCAGAAATCTAAAGAGACAATAAGAGAATTATCCCTATGTCTTGTAAGTACCACAGAGACAGGTAACCTTTTCAAATCCAAATAAAGTTTAACAGATGGCACCAGCTCGTGCTTGGAGAAGCCAGCACTTCTGTCTTTAAATCCGAGATAATGGATAAACTAAAATTGATGAAATTTATAACTTGTCTAATGGTAATAAATAATAACAAGTACGAAATTAAGTCAGGATTGGCTGCAGCCTGCTGTAGTGAAGAGCCGGCAAAGTTAACTTGCAGAGGATAATCACCCGGTTTCAATGACTGCTCTCTGCAAAAGACATGGATGCATTTTTCCCTCATTAAAATTCCTTCACAAGTTTGGTTGCCTAAAACAGAACCTCACGTCCTACAGCTTCCGTGCTTGTAGCAGAGTTACGCATTACAGCTTCTTCCACCGCGAGAGCTCTGTGATGTATTCTCCTGCTTACATCACGCTTGAAACTGCAAAGTAATCTCTTCTCGCACTGTTACGGGATCCGGCAGCTATTTACTCGAGAATAGTTCGCGTTTTTTCTGAACAAATCTGTATTCATCAGGGCCTCCTTCATTAAAATTCATTTTGTGTAACCAGGCATACGCACGGAGAATACGTATTTGCTCCAGCGTACCGCTTTTTTTTACTGTTCTCAACCGCAGCCTTTACTACTTCAGCGAGCCATTTCCACGCATGCATTCCATTACAAAGGCTGCTTATTTGGTTCTCTTTACCTGCCTTTATGCCAGATATTATATAATACCGTGTGTAACAGGATGAGCTATCGTTTTTTAGATTTAAAGGACTGAGGAAAAAAAAAAAAAAAAAAAACACACAAAGCGCCCAGATCCCCATTGTATATGCCATGATTTTTTTTTACTTACTTTTTACTTTTTTTTTTAAGTCTAAGCAACATTCCATATCCTTCGAAACCTAAAATATTACCACAGCCAGGTAGTAGAAAATGCTTAAAATTTGCTTTGCAAAAATTGAGAGAATGCTATGTGCTTTATGTAACAGATTCATTAAAAAAAACGCATTGGCTCAACAGCCCTAGTGGGCATAGTCTGCAGTGCCTCGATATCTCCTTTCCTGACCGTGGGCCCCGGGATGCATGAGCATATGCTCGGGACAAGTAAGTGGTCAGCTTGTCGCCGGCCCCCCGATGTTAAGTCCTCAAGCGAACTTCGTACTCATTTTATGAACTCACGTAAGGGATGAAAGACTGAGTCAAGATTCATTTTAAAGTCTCAAAAATAGCTAAAAATTATATAAGGTAAATGTTGTAAACGTAATCTTTGAACAATATGAATAGTTTTACTATTCAGGAACTCAATTTTTATTTCAGACTATCTTACATACTTACCTTGCATAGAGAAACACTTGGACAATATTCGAAACTGTTACCTCTACTCCAAAATGCCAGAAGATCCTGAATTTGAAGTTTTGCGGAACTTTTCTGGAAATAACGAACATATATATATTGCTGCTTGCTGGTAAGTTTTCATATTGTGCTTTTCAGAAAGGGTATTAGTTATTGGTAATGTACAAACATGAAAATGAAAGGAAAATAATGTCTTTCAGTTGGCGCAGTTTAACATGTTTTACTGAAGAAAAAGCAAAAAATTATTTACTCCATGTATATGTTACTGCTAAAGTGCAGAAATCAGTTATTCTACAGATTATCTAGCTAATGAGTATATTAAGGTGACGAAAATTGTTTCATTTCTCAAATGACTTAAATAATCAGCATATTACCTACTAGGCACTCGTTAAAGTGAAAATAAGATTATTGCTGGAACAACAGCAGCATAGTTTCTGTACGCTTAACACTCCAAGCGTTGCATGTTTAGTTCTGAAATTTTAAAGTTCCTCCAAATGTCATGAATAAAACGACTCTCTCACTTTATACCTTGATTCCTTTTCTTTCAATATACATCCAATCCAAAATCGAACTCATTTAACGCTGGCAGAAACTTTTATAGGTAATAAATACGAAAGCCACCGTTCTTTACGGAATTTTCCGTCCGTAACGCTGAGAGGGTTAAATTAACATAATCGTATTTATTTATTTATTTATTTTTCGATATCTAAATCAAGTTAATACCATCAAACAATCAATAAACTAGAATCAGTCATCAATCATCAAAGAAACAAACTTTTGAACTTTGACGGTATGGAAGTTGTAATGAGGGCATTCCCTAAGTAAAATGGGGTAAATTGTTGATTCTGCACGTGAACGGAGTGGATAAGTTAATCTGCAGATTAACTGGATAATGTGCTCATTAACGACTTTCCCAGCTTTAGCGGTAACATATACATGTATATTCTATTTTTGCTGGTATTTATTCTGAAAAGCAGCCAATAAACATACTTTCAAATGGAAGTTAGTTTCTTTCGTTCTGATGGAAATTATTGATAATCATTCTAAGAATAAATTTATATGATTGTTCTCTTTACGATTTTGAAGCAAAATGCTGTACTCCTGAAGAACGTTTACCGCAGTTTCTTTCAATATATGCAAATCCAGCAAGCCTGGCAACGGTGCCCCAGCTATTAAGTGCCTCCATAATAAAGTTGTAGAGACATTAGGTTAATTGTAAAAGCCGGAGAGATGGAACATTAACAACGCCTTCGCCGGGAATCGAACCACGGACCTCTGGAATACCGGCCCAGCGTGCAGAACAACTACACCACGAAGGCACGCTAGGAAGGCGGAAGAAATACCTTATGAAATGACAAAAAGAAATGGATTAGAAGAGTACAACTTGACTATAAGAGACTTGTAGACTGCAAGCTCAGCGGGTTCATAAGAACCTTAAGAAATCTCCTGGGCCATCTTTAAAATCTAAACACTTTCCGATTTTTTTTATTGTTACAATTTTTTTTTTAACTTTTGTGAAAGAGAGCTTCACTGTTAGCTACTAATAAGTTCTCGAAAATTCATTAGCTTTTTTCCTGTTCGTGCTGCATTTCTTTCGTATAACTGTAGCTTAAAAAGACTATAATGTATGTAGAATCACTAAAAGAGCTTCAGCTAAAATAAAATCTACGCTAATTAAAGCTGCATCTCTTGCGCTATGTGGTACATTTTGTGACATATGATTCAATGTTAACGTATTGTTTACAGTATGGCTTTTAAACTCTCACATCCAAAATCTGCACACACACAATAAATCTCTTCATATCCAACTTTTGTCGATATTAAACATTTAAGTAAGGTTAAACAATATTTAATTATAAAAATTTAGCCTTCTTTAAATGTATAATTAGTATTTGTTACTACGATTTAAAATTGTTGATTATTTTCCAATAAAGTCTTAACATCACTAATCCATTCATATCAATTTTTCTGTTTAAGGCCATGTTGCTACAACAAAAGAAAAACTAGATGGAATCAGGATTTTCATTTTATTTTGAGGCATTTTTTTATCCATGTTAGCAAACATATCAAATAAAGTTATTTCTTGATTTTCCAATGATATATTTATTTGTGAATAATTCTTCCATAACATAAAAGACGTTAAAGATGTCAGAAAAGCTATCTTACTGGAAAAGCGTTTCTGTGGGAGTCTGATCTTGTGCCATACATAAAAAGCATTTTATAAGAGATTTGGTTTCAGAAACTTGAACTTGAAATTAAAGATATCCTTTAATCATAAATTCTCCAAGAAAGGATCTTAGATTTTTCTGTATAAATTTGTATTGTTTATTAGAGTTATTAGTCCAGTAGGGTTATTAATTTCGTTTTGGCATTTTGCGTCAAATCTCTATAAACGGCGTATCACTTTTCAAACTGCTGCTACCAAATGTTAAAGTCCTGCATTATATTTAAGTAATGAATAATCTGCATAAATATATGTATATTTCTTTCATTGTGATAAAACAACGGTACCTAGAGCCATCCAATTTTGAATAAAATAATCCTGCCCCTGAACATGGCATCTGGACGCTCTAATTTGGAACTTGTTTTATTATCTATTTCATATTTTGTAAAACTTTACCGAATTTTTCTTTAAGAAACTCAACGATTTTAAAGCTAGCAGTGGCAACACTGTATGAAAAAAAAAAAAAAAAAAAAAGGTTTTTACCTCCAGCGCGTGAGACTGTGTATCGGAAATTCTAAAGACATGCCCTTTTTAATTAATTTTGTGATATTGCTGTTGAATTGATCTTTATGGTTTAACTACGAAGAACATGATGTTTAATAAATAAAGGTAACCCACAAAACGTTAAAAAAAACCCTTTGGCGAAATATAAAATCCCAAAACTTTCACTTATTTTTATTTAATAATTTTCCTTCAGTATTGTTACTATTGTTCTTCTTTTAGCCCTGTATCTAAATACATTTCTTGTTCAAAAGACATCATAGGATCTAAGTGTAGCGGCGACTCAGCAAACATCGTTTTCAAAGTTCTTATGAAAGCATCTGGTAGGCAGCTTTACGACTTCTGTACAGATATTGATTCAACATTTCCGAGCATTTCAACATCGTGTGTCAGCAGCGCTCAACGCATTGTTTACTCCTTTGCAGTTATTATTGCTTTGTATTTTTTCACGTTCTTGTTTTAAATTTATTGTATATTATATCTGAAAGTTAATGCTTGTATTTCAATAAAATTATTTGTAATGAATTTCACGTTTGCGCTTGCTAATGAAATGTTTTCTTTATTTTGTTTCCTGTAATTATCTTTTTAGCTTAAATTTTATGACATATCTTGTCATCGAACGAAGTTCGTCGGATTGCCATAAAAAGTGCTTTGTACAATGCTGCTTATTAAAAAAAAGGGCAGCTTAACAAAATAAATGAGCTATCAAAGACTTATTTATTACACAGGCAACTTACGGTACAGCGGTGAAATGGTTACAACCATATCTCTGTTCGAAATGTAGAACGTTAAGAAATCAATGTTTCGTATACTTACCAAATCATCACGCGGAACAATAACTGCTGTTACATGACCGGTAACAGAGAAACAGGCGTTGGATGTGAGTTTAGGAAGCTAGGGCAAGCTTTTTCAAACTTCATTTACCTTAACCATAAGCAGTGTACGGCCCGTTAGAATGTGAGGTGATGGACTAGTTATGTTGAACAGGCAAACAGAACAGATTAATGCGCATGCCATGGAAGTAGTGAAATACAGCGGATATCCATGTATTACTGTACTGTGTGTCACATGCTTTTGCTAAAAGGACCCAGATATGCCCTGACGATAAGATGAAAATAACAAGCTCTAGCACCTAGATACATAAAGTTTGCTGTTCTAGGTACCGAATGTCTACTTGGATTGGTGGCTCCCATAATACAGTGTCTGCTGTCCGATCGGTAAAGCAAAGCATCGTTGCAGGATTCATTTCATTGTTCGTTCACTAGCACCCGACACAGGTGCATTCAGCAGGGTACTGCAAATAAAAGTGAGATTTATCCGAAAAGCCATCATACCATTCATTCCCCATCTACGTTTTAAATGCCATTGTCAGATACTGGTAATTCACACATATTTTCTGCTTGGTAAGTATCCATCGTTCATCCGCAATTTCGTTTAATTTTTAGTGAACGATCTGTGAAAGTGAAAAGGTAAAGAGACTGCATCTGTGTGAACATCAATTTATATTTTTTCCGCTGTAAATAGCAGCTTTTTTTTCCACTTTTAAATGCAATTAATTTAACATAAACGTATTGTGTTTTACCTTTTTCCAACAAGCCTTTCAACCGCAGATGATTGTGCCGTATACTCAAAAGTACGTGAAGCAAAAGGGGTCTCTCTAAATCGGTTTGATATGGAAGAATCCGGTTAAGGGGAGTATTTTCAGCCGTTTGAAAGCAGGCCGTTACAGTTATGAAAGCGTTGAGATGTGTGAATTTCTTCAGATAGACCTCTTATTACTGAAACAACTTCATAACTCTGGAACTGTTGGAAGGAGGAGTGGATAAGGCCGTAAACGTATAAAAATTGCTCCGCAAGGATCGATATCTGTCAGTAACTCCCCGTGATTATAGGAAGTTTACTGCTCGGCAAGTAATTTCAAAATTTGCAGCCGTCACTGGAACTGTTGTATTACGGTAAACTCGATACAGAAGGCTTAAAGAAGAAGCCATTTGTTAGAAAGCAGAAGCTAAATGTTTCACTTTCTTCACAATGAAATAGGGTGAATGTAATTAGTGCAGTTTAATTAATGCAAAGAATAACAGAACTGAAGTAAACATCAATTATCTCATGTGTTCTTTCCTGATGAATCCAGGTTTAGTTTAACGTTTAATTCTAAATTTGTTTCCACCTGGAAGGAGTCATGAATGCAAAATACTCCTTCGAATATTAAGGAAAGTACTGCTTCGGTAACCCTCTGGTATGATGATATGGAAAGGAGTAACGATCGATTGACTTACATGATAACACGTTTTCAACACCGGATCTTTGACTGGCCAGATATATTGGAAATGAGGTTTTAGAACCTTATGTAAGCCTTTTCTGAGGTATATATGGATCTGACTTTTTTATTTATGACCGATAATGCTCATCCACATGGGGCAAACCTCGTTGATGAAATACTTGAACTGACACTGAGCGAATATCGTGGCCAACAGTAATCTGATCATCCATTTTAATAACTCTATAGAGGACCTATGGGAGAGCAGTTGCAAGAAAACATTCTCCTCCTAGAGATGAAAATGCTCTGATTACCGCATTAATGGAGTGGTGGAACTTAATTTCCCAAAATGTAACTAAGAACGTTATTACCAGCATGAAAACACATTGTGATATGTAAGTACAAGTCAGGGAAGACTACATTGTATATTTAATTCATAAGCCTTAATTTTTTCTGAACTCTTCTTGTAATATATTATTACCATTTCTACTGTTTCATATTACAGTTTTATATCACTAATAAATGCAATGGTTAATATTTCCATTGCATTGCATTTATGCATTATGATGTTATGGATCATTCCACACAAATTCATAAAATTACAGTTCCCAGTTTCTGAGAAAGCTGTTATTTAATGCATGTAAAGATAATTTTGGGCATGGGTGTACATTAAATAAAGACATTATGTAGCCTAGAAACTTCCGATGGGTATTTATATGGTCACATAAATAATGATAATAATTATTCCTGTCCGGAATCTAGTTTATATAAAACAAAATTATTTTGTATGAAAACCCTGTTCATAGATTCGGCGTACACGCTAATACACTCGTAAAATCTGTCTACAGAAAGGATTTCTAAATTCTAAATTTGCGGTTACTCCAACTTGAGAACAGTGGATGTTCTGTAAAGTATGTCTCCTGCAAAGAATATAATTCAACTAGTGGTGTTTCGGAAATTAAGCAATGAGATATGAATATTGGGAATAAAAAATATCTGAAAATAAAAGAAAACTTAAGGAAAAAATTTAATTTCTAAATGAACATGTAACAATCCGAAGAAATTCTAGTTTTGACATATTTCGAGAAATTAAAAATTGTTGTAATCAGTGGCGTAACTAGAGTACTTAAGTTATATCGCTGGTTACTAACGAAAAACGAAAAATTCTGGGCTCCTAGTATACTCCATGATTTTCAACACTTTAAGAAAGAAAATAAAAAGAGAAAAAGATTTTTTTGAATAAGATGATTTTGCCAGCGGTGAATTAATAATTAAGCAATATAAACATGCGCTTACAGGCCCGAAGGTAAAAGGCGACAACAGAAATGTTTTACTAGATAATTTGAGAAGTCAGAATTTATTTTCGTCTTTATTGTTTACATTCTAATCAGCAAATTTTAAGAAGTGAGAAAATTGACTCAGTTTGTGTTCTCCGGCTCTGGTATGAGATAAAGCATCAATTGGTTCTAATGAAACATTGGCTTTCTGGACTCAGTTTGTAGAAGCATAATGCTTCTAAGGGCAACTAACGTGAAAAATCAATTATGCGAGATTCAAATCATGATTTTCCAGTGATAGTTGGATGTGCTACCAGTTACATCAAAACAGTAAATAGAGAGAAATTCAATGATTCCTTCTCACATTGGGCTTTGGACTGGGGATAAATAAATAAATATACATTGGAAAGAAATATGCTATGTAAATTGCAGAATTAAAAAAAAATAAATTAAAGAAAGAAATATTTCTTTTCTATATGAGATTTAAATGAACTATATTTCAGACCATATACGAAGTCATAAAATTAGCAGTTGCATTTTGATTCTGCACATCGAACAAGGCTTTAAAAAAAATTCTATCTGTTTAGCTTGGTACTACACAATTTACGAAGATCTTCAAGTTGAAACAAGCAAAATTTGAATGAGCTTGGTCTATTACTAACATTTTTATTTCTTATATTTATGGAAACTAAATTGCCTGTTTTTTTTAATTTCTGGAGTTAAGCTGAGGACTTTTTATGATATAAGAATGCTTTATTGAACGAAATTTAGCGTAGCATTATATTTCTCAGAATCTTACCATGTAGCTCTAGTCGGTTGTCATTTTTAGTAAAAGGAATAAATAGCCGTACTTCTCATAGATGGCAGCACTAATCATTTAATATTAAATAATGGGTGATTTTCCTGGAGAGATTTTAACCGAATTTCTTAGGATTCACAAAAAATGTCGCAAAATGAAATACGATGGATGCGCAAATAAATTCAAGTTTTATGTTTATTTCTGAAGTAAAACTTAATACCAACATTCTAAAATGTTATTTTTATCATCTATAATAGTATCGAAACCAGCTACTTTGTTGTTTCCTACATAGCAAAAACTTACATGAATGCGAGGTCTCACCTGTAGCTTGTAAGCGATTTTTAATCACCATCAGTTTGGATCTCCCTTTACAATACAATTACAGCAGTTGTGAGCAAAATTATCAAATTATTTGGAATTGTATTTTAGAGATTGAGTTTTGGAATAAACTGCTAAAGTTCCAAGGAATTATCCTTCGACTTCTCTAATTCGTCTTCCGCAACAAAAATAGAAATGAATCTGTGATTTTTTCCCCCTCAAAGACAAATGCTTTCTTATTTTATGTTAACGAGATCATGATTTTTATTTTCACGTTTGTCACTCAAAAGATGCAAAGCGTTAACTTAGCTATGTCTGATGTTACACTGACATTCGTGCTTAATGGACAGAAAATTCAAACAATAGTTTTAAATACTCAATTTTTTTTTTCTTTTTAGATTTTTTTTGTTTGTTTGTTTGTTTTCGGGGATTTTTTTAAATTTTATTTATTTTTTTTAATAAAGTAAGGCCCATTATAACATTAAAACGAAATAATTAAATACATTTCAGAAACACATTTATTTTCAGGATTTTATTCTCAATTTTCGACATAATTTTCTTGCCGGTTTAAAATTTATCGCAACGAAGAACGAGTTTTTTAGACACCTTCCTCATAGAACTGCCGCCATGTGCAATAGTCACATTCTAGATGGTGTTCATGTCGATATCAATGTCTTAACCTTTCTCATATAATGACACTTGTTTCTGCACTTACTATCTGCACTTACTTACATTCACATCATTGTCACTTCATACTTTACATATCCGGCAACGAATATTCGAAATTTAGATGTTTATTACTGTTAAGAACCAGATAATTAACTGTATTTCGCAGTCGGGGGCGCTTTATTTTCTTAAGCAATTTAACATC